CTCAAATACACCACGGGCTCAACGCTGCGACGTGCGCTTGACGTTCTGCTGCCGCTGCTGCTGCTGCTGCAGCAGCAGCAGCTGCTGCGGCTACTGCTGCGGTTGCGTACCTTCCAGTACTTCTCAGGTGAGGGAGATAAACGGTCTCCGCCCGAAGCAAAAGGGCCCTTTCACTGCGTTGAAGAAGAAAGACTTTTGGTTGGCGCATCGATGCCTCTCTGCTGTATTCCGCGGCCAGCAGAAGGATGGAGCTAGCTGGTGAGGGGTGCTGGGGGGAGAGCAGGATATGGGGAGGAGATAATTGTTTATTTACGGTTGAAAAAGAAAACTTGATGGAATAATAATGGAAAAGGAAGAAGAAGGAGGAGTTGAAACGAAGGAAATCGAGAACGCCGTGGGGGCAGGCAGAAGCCACCAGTGGTGAGCAGTGTCCGATGCCGTATTTCCCCTTCTGCGTGAAAAGCGATGAAAATTACAAAAGGAAAAGAAAAAGGCCTTATAAAACTCCACAATCAGGAGAAAAACGAGGCAAAAGGAGGAGAAAATACAGCCTGGGCTTACCGTGTTCAAGTTAGCGCTTCCCATGGCGGCACCCGCGCTGCTGATCGGGCGTCGAGATAAATGAGGTTTTTTTAGGTTAAATTACTCTTTTTATGATTTAATTAGATATAAATTCTTATTTATTTCTTATTTTTTCATGAGATCGCAGCTGAAACACCAAGAAAGCACTATAATTTCCCTTCAGAGCCTGTGTGTCCGCTGGTGTACAAGGATGCACTGCTCGTGGGTCGGATCGACACCGCAGCCGCTTCCTCCATATTGAACTGACACATTTGCAAAAAAAAGAAATTTATTTGTTTTTGTTTGTTGTTTTGCTNGCTTCCTCCATATTGAACTGACACATTTGCAAAAAAAAGAAATTTATTTGTTTTTGTTTGTTGTTTTGCTCAATTGCTTCATCGTTGTGCTTTGAAACGAGAGAAAGCCGATCAGAACACGCCCAGCGACAGCAGGTGGCTCTGCTAATGGGATACACTCGGAATCCTCCGTAAATATTCTTCTTTATCTTCATATTGAATGCAAATACAAAAAAAGAATCAATAAATCTTATGTATTTGTCCCTTTATAGTTTAGCGTTTACTTTCTTTGGCTTGTATATAACACGGTGCAACACTGCTACGTATACACAACAACAGCTCAGTAGCTGCATTTATTGTTTGGTATTTGAGCGCGTAAATAACTAAATAAAAATTATAAAATTAATTAAATATCGGCATTCTTTTTCTTCTTAGCTCAGCAAAATTCTTTTGTTTAAACACCGCACCCCTTCTAGTTACATTCAATGCAAATACAAACACAAGTTCATATTGTTGCAGCTTTCTTTGTGTCAGTTTCTGGCGTTATATGTAGTTGCATGCATGCTTATTTATCTGTGTATTTATTTATTTGCAATATGTTTGCTTGGTGGTGTATGCTTGTTTGTCTTTCTTTCTCTTTTCTCCCTGCTCCTTCTTCTCTCTGTGTTGATTCAGCTGTTACTTCTTTTGCTTTTATTTTGTTTACGCCGTCTCTGTTGTATACTTTTTTTAATTTTTATAATTTATCTATATCTATCTCTGCTATATGGTTTGTTGTTGTGTCTCTTCTCTATATGTTTGTTTTCTTTTGGGTGTTATATTTCTCCTTCTGTTTATGTTTGTTTGAATCCTCTTTTCGACGTTTCTTTGTTAACAGAACAATGCAAATTAAATTAGAAAATATAAGAAACAAAAACCCAAACAAATAAAAAAACTTTATAACAAACAAAGAGGAAAGCGTGTTCAGAGGCTAGCTGTCTGTACACTGCACACACAGTCAACCTCC